CTCCCGTCGCTCATGGTGCTGTGACGTGATGTTGTGGCGTTTGCATTTTGCGCGCTTGCAGCCCTACCAGGACCTGCTGGACTGGGAGACGTTCAGCATTCGCATTCCCCGAGCACAGGCTCCTCGAGGTGTGGTGACAGATCGGTGACATGGGGATGTGAAGCGATGCGTGAGCGGGTGATGTGGTTTGATGGGGATTGTTGTTGGTGATGGCTTGCATGTCACGTCGTTCACACACACACACACACACACACACACACACAAATGCAAACACACACACACACACACACACACACACACACACACACACACACACACACACACACACACACACAAACACAACTGCGTTCAGCTTCCGAGGATCCTGCGGTCGATCCCTGATGAGGTGGTGGAGATGATGCGGAGACGCGTTGTGTTTATGTTTGAGGAGTTCTTCAAGTCCCTCTCCACCCAAGTGCGCACAGGTGAGGGAGTATGTTGTTGGGACAGGGGCCTGTGCAGTGAGTGTGGCGACGTTTGTGGTGTGGTGTGTGCGTTGCTCGCTTGTTCTCGTGTCCATTCAACCACTCTCACCATCTGTCAACTCGTGTGTCATGACTGTGCTATTTGCTACTATCAGCACTGCTGGAGTCTGCCAGGATCAACCTCTTCAGCGGCGACAACGCGTGGCAGGTGAGCGTGTGTGTGTGTGTGTGTGTGTGTGTGTGTGTGTGTGTGTGTGTGTGTGTGTGTGTGTGTGTCGACGTACGTGTTCTCTTCTTCACCCACCCACTCACACGCCATCATCACCACCTCTCATGTTCTTGTGTGGTTGCTCACATCCTTCCCTTCCCATCCTCAACACCACTATCACCACCACCCTCCACACTTGCTCGTTTCCCCTTCTTTCTTTCTGCTGTCGCCACGCAGAGGGCCCTTGAGCCAGCAGCTGTCACCCCCTCCTGCACCAACCACCACTGCTCTGGTGGGATGAACAGACGGGCGCTGCCATGTGATGACCATCCAGCCACGCTTGTGCGGCTGCGGAAGCAGCAACACCAGCAACACACCACAGACAAGCAAGCGATGAGCAACGTGAGTGCACCACTGCATGTGTGTTGATGTGATGTGCACAGCGTGAGTGTGCGTGTTTGTGGTCGCTGTCTCTGCTGCTCCTGTCTCCCCTTGTTGTCCCACATCAATGTGCATGCATGTGTGTCGTGCGGCTGCCTGTTTTGCCTTGCTTGATGCGCTGTCTCATTCGCCGTTCTCTCATACAACTGCCTGCACACCTGCACATTCTCCCCCTTGCAGCCGCTGCTTATATTCCCTTCTCTTTCTCGCCCTCCCTGGCGGCCATCACAACAACAACAACAGCAGCAGCCAACACACCCTCCACCGCCGATGCAGCAGCAGCAGAGAATGCACCACCACCACCACTTGCAGCTGAACACATTCCCCAGCACCAGGCAAGCAACCGCTGCTGGCGGAAGCTGGCTGGTACTGCTGGGAACAGGTGGCGACAGCACAAGTTACATTTTCGGCTGGAAGCAGCAGCAGAGGTGAGGGCGAGAAGAAGAGGGAAAACGGAGAGGAGATGTGTGTTGGATGGATGGATGGATGGATGGATGAGGTGGGGTTGGGGATGCTGGGTGAGTGTGGTGTGGTGTGGTTGGCTGGCTGGCTGGTGACAGGGGATGATGGTGGTGGTGTGAGGAAGAGGGATGGATGGGTGGATGGGGTGCAGCATGCCTTGTTCCCCTCCCTTCTGTTTTCTGTTTTCTCTCTCTTCCCTTTCTTCTTCACACACCTACATGCACGCACAGCACCGGCAGTGACAGCAGTGTAGCTGCGCACATATCCATGCTCCCTCTTCCCTTCCACTCACTCACTCACCATGCTGGTGCTCGCACACAACAACACTTACAGCACAAGCAGGATGAGGGAAATGTCGAGGATACTTGCCACGCGTGCCAGCTGCACTCGCCTCACACATGGTATGTGGGTGGTGATGAGTGGTTGGTTGGTTGGTTGTGTGATGGGATGTGGCGGTGATGCGGTGCGCTGACGTGAACAAGGGGAAGGGGGTTGATGGAGATGATGGTCACACACCAACACACACACAAACACACACACACACACACACACACACACACGTGGTGCGTGTGACGTCCATCACTCGTTCTGCTGCGCTGACGTGATGGCTTGCTCTGTGCCTGTTGTGTTCTATTCCCATCCACGTTCCCTGCAACCACGCACATGCACATATGCACAGGTGGTGAGGTACCAGCACACATCAGGATGGTAATGAAAGCGGGCTCGCATGCCGGCTGCTGCTGCTGCAACTTCCCCGATTCAGCTGCCGCTGCTGTGCTCATGCAGTGTTCCCACATGCGTGAGCAAGGTGAGCCCATCATGGATGCTTTGGTTGACACATGGTGCATGTGTTGTTGTTAGTGCTGCTGTTGCTGCTGCTGTGTCTCGTACCCCAGTGTAGCTGTGCAGCTCACATGTCATGTGTGTGTGTATGCAGGGGGATGGCTGCCTGAGGATCGTTGGAGGATGATGGGCGGTGCACACATGATGGGTTGTGAGGAGCAGCTGTGGACACACACGTACATGGTCATGGTGGGCACATCCAATCACAGCGACGCAGCTATGCGCAGGTGTGTGTGTATGTATGTGTGTGTGTGTGTGTCGTGGGGTGAGGGGGGAAAGCAGAGGAGGGACAGGAAGGTGAGCACGTCTGCTGTGCTCACATGCCATACCTGTGCCTTGTGGGTGATGATGTCGTTGTGTCTTGTCGTTGTGTGATGGTTGCATGGGCACCAGGGCCACATCAGAGGAGGGGGAAGTAGCCGCCATGAACGACCCATCATCATCATCATCATCATCAACCTTCCCCATTTCTCTCTCCTTTTCCTCTCTTCCACCGCAGCTCCGCTGTCATCATCACCATCATCATCATCGCCCGCACAGCCGTCATCACACTCCGGCCGACACCAGCCCCAATCTGGCGTGAGGCAGACATTGCACATGTCAGTCGCTCTGATGAAGAGGTGAGCAATGTGTGTGCGTGTGTGTGTGTGTGTGTGTATGCGTGCATGATGGTGAGTAGGGACAACATGCGTGCGTGTGGTTGTGTGTCAATGCGGGTGGTTGGATGGGGCTGGCGTGTGGCTGATGCTGCTTCGCTGTCAACCTCACCCCCTCGCATTATCCCCTTCTTGCGTCTGTGCACACACATTTTTCACAGCGTTGAGGAGGCACATGAAGCGGTGGAACCAACGACGATGACGAGTGATGGAGGTGAGAGGGCGACTGAGATGTGTGTGTGTGTGTGTGTGTGTATGGTTGACATGTTGTGTGTCCTTCTTCGCTTCCCTCTTTCCTGGTCCGTTCTACGCACTCATGTGTCTGTTTCTTCTTCTTCTCTCCTGTTTTTCGATTGATTTGGGCACAGGACCATGCATTCTGTCTCCATCCAACCGACCAAGCAAGCAGCCGAGCGAGCGAACAAAGGACACGGCGTGGCAAGGAGCCGTTTGTTCGCCGTTTCCACCAGCAACACCAACAGCAACAGCTGATGGCTGGCTGCATTTGGATGAACTGGCCCTCTGTATCTCGCCCATCTCCTCGTCGTCGTCATCCTCGTCATTGGTCCCCAACAGCAGCGGCTGCTGCCGTGGATGTGGAGGTGAGATAAATGGCGGTGGTGGTGATGGTGACGTGGGTGGCGTGTGATGTGTTGGTTTTGAACAACAGCATGTAGGTGCGTGATTGTGATGTGCTGGTTGGATGTCGTTGGGTCTGCTGGTGGTGGCAATGGATGTGGTTGTCGTTGACAATCTGATTCTGTAACACCTCACCTCTTTCTTCACACGCACACAGGGTGTGATGTGCGTCGATGCGCCGTTGCCTCGCGTGACGACGCTGCTGCTGGTGGTGAGTGGTTTGTGGTGGATGTACACGGCGCACGCGCACGCATGTGCAGATGTGCTGCTTGTGATCGTGGTGGTGTGTATCTGTACGTGGCTTCGTGGGGATGTGAAATGTGCGTGCACAAGTGATGATGTGGGTGATGTGGAATGAGGCACGAGGGGGTTGATGTGGGTTGTTTTCTGCCATGCTGGCTCACTGCGTGGTGTCATTCTTGCTGATTTTGTTGTTTGTGCTTGCGCATGTGTACATGTGTGTGATTTGCACAGGACGGTGGCCGTTCTCTTCCCAAGCCCCCCCCCCCATGACACGAGCAGGGCGATACATGCACACACAAATGTGCGAGAAAAGAAGGCGCAAGGTGAGACGCTGCCGCTGTGTGTGTGTGTGTGTGTGTGTGTGTGTGTGTGTGTGTGTGTGTGTGTGTGTGTGTGGTGATGGGGTGGTACATGCACGCACAAACGCATGCACGCATGTACACATGTATGCCAACACACCACAGCAGTCATTGGCTGTGGGGTGGTTGCACTGACGTGTGTCTCACATGAATCAATCACACAACTCAAATGTGTGCGTGTGCGTGTCTGCGTGGCTGCAGGCGGACGTGTGCGGGTTTCCCCAACCGATTATCCTTCCCCTTTTCCCAACGAATCACCTTTGCTCTGTGTCATCATCATCATCAACCTTCCCCATGTGATGTGCAGCGGTTGAGGCGTGATCGAGACTGCGGCCAACACAGGTATTTCAGCAGTGATTGATATGGTGGATGTGATATCGCGTGTTTGCTTGCTTGCTTGTTGGGTGCTTGCTTCGTCGTTCTTGTGTGCAGGTGATGCACCCCGCCCACAACATGCTGCATATTCCCATGCGTGGTCCCTTGTGTCCCTCCTTTCCTGTCCTCACCATCACCGATCGCTGTTCATCTCTGGTTGGTTTCTCCTTGCCTCACAGGCAGGCAGGCAGGCTCGCTAGCTCGCTGCTGCTACTGCTGCTGCTGTGATGATGGCCGGGCGTGTGCGTGTGCGCTGTGCACCGTGTTTGGGGCTGCACCGATGAAGACAAGGAAGGACACGGCCCTTGCCCACCACTCTTCCCCTTTCATCTCCTCTTTCTGCTCCATCAGCGATGACGATGGTGGCCGTGGCATGTGATTGCGGTTCCCTTTTGTTCTGGCTTCGCTGTGGCACGTTGGCTGGCTGGCTGGCTGCACCAAGCACAGGTGAGGATGATCGTTGATGGTTGCTTGGTTGGTGGTGGGCTGGGTTGTGTGGAGTGGTGGGAAGCAGGGGGAGGAGGAAGTAACACGGTGATGGTGGTGATGAGGCGACGTGGGAGTGCTGAGCGAAAGGAGGGAGAGGGAAGGGAAGTGAGGGCGATGATGTTGGTTGGGGGATGGGGAGTGCGTATGCACATGCACGTGAATCGTGTGATGGTGGTGTCACATGATTCCTTTTGCTTGTACCTGTGTGTGATTGTGATTGTGATGATGACTGCAGTGGGCAACACACGGCGGTGATGCTGGATTGGATTGGCTGGGGTTGACTGGCCGTCGTGTCGTGTCACCCATTTCTCTCTCTCCGTTGCTCATCTCAACTGGGAACACACACGGCAATGTGTGCATGTGTGCGTGTACATGTGTGCGCAGCGCCATCAATCACGCCGACAGCGACACGATGCACGAGGTGAGGGCACGCAATGGTGTGCGTGTTTTTGGTGGAAGGGGTTCGGGGGGAAGTGGGAGGAAGGTGTTCATCATGGCCATCATCACCACCACGGCTGTGTATCTGGCCATGTGACCGTGCATTTGGGGGATGGATATGAGGGAGAGATGTTGTCGTTGTTGGTTGTGGTTGTGTTTGCATTGCTGTGCATGCGTGTGCATGGTGTACCGTCTCACTCTACAATGCCATGTGTGACTGTGTGTGACTGCAGATGTGCGTGCGCCTGTGCGCCTATGTCAGGCAGATGCGTTGATCGACGACGAGGTGTGTGTGTGTGTGTGTGTGATTGTGGTTGACCGTTGTGTGCTTGTGCCATCACACAACCAAGCACATCAATATCGTTGCACCCCATGTGTCGTTGTTGTCGTCCACTCACGCATGACATGCTCACATCCACCCCCTCTTTGCTTCTTCTCCTTCTCCTTCCTCCCCTGCTGCTGCCACCCCTTCCACTGTTTCCCACCACCCCCTTTTCACACCCACAGAGTGAGAAACCCGTCCACATCCAACACCCATGCCCACACCCACGCATGCCATGCCATGGCGAGCTGTGCCACCTCAACCAATCCAACTCATCCCAGGCGAAGGAAAGGAAGGAGGGAAGCAAGGACACAAGACGTGGGGCTCCCAACAGATGTGTGTGTGTGTGCGTGTGCGTGTTGATGGACGGTGTTCTCCTTTCCCCCCTCCATCACCTCGCTTCGTTCTTCCATGGCCATCTGGCTGGGTGGCTGTTGCCCCCTCCCCTTGTTTGTTTTCTCTTCCAGCCTTTGTGTGGCTGGTGGTTGTCTGTTGTGACTGTGAGAAGGAGGAGGAGGGAGGAGGAAGCGAAGAAGAGAGAAGAGAGGAGAGGGTGTGTGTGTGTGTGTTTGTTCTTCTTCT